ATCTCAAAAATAGATTTTTAGGAGGGGACTCGTTTCTACATGGAATTATAGAAACTGTATCCATCAAAAAAATATGAAGGATTAGAGGGTTAATCTTGTAAAGGAGGACTATGTATGGATGTTCCACTTAGTTCTCTGACCTTAATGAGAGTCGGCATAGGAATTTACCTGGAAGAACTGAGAATTCTGTCTTTTTTTTTGGGATTAAGTGTTTAAGTGCAGACAAATGCAATTGACATGTAGAAACGAAAAAGTGGGATTTTAGAACAAGTATAAATGGTTTGGGAAAAACAGGCATTACACCTCACAGAACTGCCATCTTCTGGCTTGTTAGCCTAGGATCCTTCTATGATGCCTTTATAGATACAGAGTGACCAAGTTACCCTGCTCTCTGATTGTTTTTCCCTTTACAATGACCCCATTTGAGGATGCCCTTCACGCCCTCTACTTGCTTGTGGAGAGACCTTTAAGCTCTTCCCTCAAGCTGCCCATCTAAATAAATACCAAGCGGCTCTTTACATGCCTAGAAATAGTATATTCAAATTATGTTAATGTATAAAATTTAAGAGTGGAAAATTTTCCTCCTCAAATTTTCCCTCGAAGAAAGTCACTTTGCATTCGTTCAGTCCTATATGCAATTGGATACAGCATTTATGAACAAGGACATAGAACTAGATCAGTATGCTGCTAAGTGTGGATTTTTGTTAAGGTGGCTCAGCGAGGAATTGGACCTTCTCAGCAGCCAATCTGCACTCATGCCTCTCTGCTTTTGCATAGCATGCACACCCCGACCCCCCCCCACACACACACACACCACCCAAAAACACTCCACCCCACCCAAAAAAAAAGCCACCTCCCACCCCACCCCTTCCCCTCCCAAAAAGACATAAGTATATTGTGAGGACTCTAGCTTACAGCCAAGACCTCCCAACTCAGGCAGATGCCTATCTAGGAGCCCATCCTCATAACAGAGCTCTTAAGAATGTTGCCTCTTCGATTATATATTAATTAAAGCCACTAGATGGTCATTTGCAAATTGTCTGCTGAGGATGGGGTATCATAAAGGCAGGAAGATTTCATCAACTTACTGGATGTGAAATTGAAGGACTCGTAGGAGAGGTTGCAAAAGCCTACTAAGGCCCCACACGATCACCATATCGAGGACCTGACTCAAGGATTCCTAACAATGAGTAAATGAAAGGGAAGATGATGGATCTCCTTGTTTCTGTCATCTCATGCCTCTGAAGAACCCTTTTTGTGTACCATTAATCAGAATGGTGGCATGGAGATACCACCCTTCCATCTATTACCAAACTCTATCTGGGTTATCAAGTAATCATTAGAGTACCAATCAGCCTGATTTTAAGCCTTTTATATAGGTGTGTCTTTTATATATCGAATATATGCATTCATGAGCAACCAGTGCTTGGTCTAGTCTCACAAAGCCTTACTGTGTGGCTTATATGATAATAATCCACTTGGCTTGTGCATCTCTGTAATTTTGTTGTAGAATCCAAAGTCAGCACGATTATTATTATTTTTCAATGAAAATTTGTCGTTATTTTCTAGAGATTTCCAAATTGCACCTCTGTTGAAGGTCAAAATCACTTTGACAACTGACCTGCTTTTGTTGCATTTTTTAGTTATGTAAATATTTTTCCAGGACAAAATTATATTTGGATCTAACTCACCAAAAGTGAAACGGGAAATTTATTGGGTATTTAATTTGTTCCAGGCTTGCAGCACCATGAGAAAAAAAAGTGCTTCTGGAATCGACAACAAACCCTTATTGTTTGCGTACCTTATGTTAATCTTCTTATTTTGTAATTTAATAGTATACACTTTATTTCGTATATCAGGCTAGATATATCAAAGACGAAGCAAAGGATAAGAGTGAAACAGAAGTAGACTTAAGTTCTTGGATTCAAGGATGCATTGAGGATCTCCCCGAGCAACAAAATGGGTATGTATAGTGACTTCTGAAGATTTATCATAGGTCATGTTATCTTTGCATGGTTTTGAGCTCTACCATTAGTCGTGCGCACCAGTAACTTGGATATGTATTCATGCTTCTATGTCTGTTGTGAACCAACGTTTTTGATTTACAAGCTTGTGCTAGCTGCTGATTTTTGTTAGTGATTGCATCAGACATTTGGGTAGTTCTTAAATTTTTGGGAAACTTATGTATGGACTCAAAACTCAAAATAAGATGCGGTATTAAGAAATGGTCTATTTTTTGGGCAATGCTACATTGAGGCCCAAGATTTTCAAATTTTGTGCTTACCATTTACTCCATGTTCGAAAGTTCGACTTTTTTACTGTTCTAAGCACAAAAAACAGGGAGGTTTGAGAGATGGACTTTCGAACCGCCCAAACGCAGTTCTTTTGTGTTTCGCCTGCTCAAACGCAGTTTTCTTGTGTTTTGGGTGGTTCAAAAGTGGGATTTTCGAATTGGGGGTAAAATGGGATTAAAAGAAAAACTTCAAAATTTTGGGACCTCAACCTAGAATGTCCCAAAATATGTACAATATTCAAATACGAGAACTTATTTTGGGTCCATACATAAATTTCCCTAATTGTTTGTCTTATGGGTTCTTTTGTATGTACTTCCCCTATTCCAAGAAAAGAAATTCCTAGGAATTTCAACATTTTATGAAGACGTGCAACTGGTTGCAGAGAGTAGCACTTTAGCTAAAAAAAGACTGGTTCTTCATCTTCAAGAAAGGTTTGGGTACCTTCACCCTTCTTTGGAAAGTTTTTCATTAAGTTAAAACCTCTCTGGCTTTGGGTACCTGCTTGCTTTCTCAGAGTGGTCTCGTCATTATTAGCATCAGTTCTTTTGCCTATTTATAGACCGGTGGCGTGTTAGTATTTTCCTCTTATTCATCTTGACGCCCCATGCGTGTCCTCGGTCTCATTTATGAATACAGAACTGCTGCTACGCATGCATTCTGGTCTTCCTCATGACTGAGGCTCTTAATACTCATTTCTTGCTTCGGGTGAAGTTACTTTAATGGATTTCTCATCCACTGATGCTCTATCTTTTGTAAAATGAACATCCGGCATAAAATGGTGAATGCAAGTGATTATAGAATGGGCACCCATTTAGGCTAATTAGAGAAGAACACCTGATTGCTCCATTAACCAGTTCAAAAACAACATGTCGTTATTACAATCACCAAGTTTCTCATATACAGAAGTATAGTTTTTTGTTGCTGTTCTGATGTGAGGTTCCTTTATTTTTGTTGTCAACAGTTCGGATTGCGGCATGTTCATGATAAAATATGCTGATTTTTACAGCAGAGGCTTGAAACTGTCATTCAGCCAGGTGATTATATTTGTTATGTTTATTGCTTACTGGATAGTAATTTGTAACGGAAAGTAAACTAAAAATTTAATTGATTGGGAGGACATTGCATGAAGTCCATTGAATAAAACTTCAATCAGGACTCTTCTCTAAATAATGACTGAAGATTATACCTGGTATATCTTCTGTGTCTTATCTTTGGTTCTGTTTGGATGCACATCTCGTAGGACAATATGCCCTACTTCAGGAGGAGAACAGTCAAAGAGATTTTAAATCTAAGAGCAGACGCGTGACAATCAAATTTGTGATGGTAATGACCTGCCATCCTGCTTATGAGATGATGCATTGATCATGAGATGCATGGATGATGGATCTGTTCTTTTATGCATGGTTGCAGCAAACCTGTGTGGTGAACATTGACTTGAATCAGGAGAATTTCAAGGCCTAGTTTTGATTGACATGGGCATGCATCGACTCCATGTATAAGTGACATGGTCATGCATGAACCCCCATGCATGGTGTCTGGTGTAAAGTATGTGCAAGTGAGTGTTCATTTTGGTTGGCAAGTGTTTTCGAGTTTTCGAGGTCGCCATTGTGGGCATTCCATCGACTCGGGTTTTGTTTTGTTTGTTAGGACTGATCGATGGAGGCCTTTTTTTTTTTTCTTTTTTTGTTTTCCCCATGTTTGGGGCTTCTTGCTATTGAATCGAATTATATTAAGTTGCAATATTGTTTTATTTTTAACGCCTTGTATTAATGGAGACGAACTTCGGGGGTTTGTACCACGCATTAAGTTTGTGGACTCTCTCTCTCTCTCTCTCTCTCTCTCTATATATATATATATATATATATATAGTAGT